TCTTCCTGCCCTGACCCCCGTGTGGCTCTTGATGGGCCTCGGTCCCATTCAGAGGCCTGTGGAGTGCTTCAGCTCTGTGCTTACATCACTTGACTGTGGTTCTAAGTAGCCTGCTTCTCACTGTTCTCCTCATGCCGGGAGCAGTTTATAAGTGATTTTTCTACTTCTTGTGAAGAAGGCATCTTCTTCTGTGGCATACATTCTAGATTAAAAAGGACAATGCAAAACAATGGCATTCACACATGCAGTGTATAGAGCACGTGTGCTGAAGTGTGGTATTTACCTGGAGTCTTCAGTGCCTGTGTGGAGGTCTTAGGCCATATGATTGTTCATGTTGTTTTCTCTGTAGTGGGATTCTAGAATCCTTGCCATGGCCATTCAGGCGAAGGCTTAGATTAATGGTTCCAAAAATCCCTGTGGGCCTTAAGACCACAGGTTGCTTGTAAGGAGGATAGTTGGGGACAAGTGATGTTGACGTTATTCTTGATGTCCAGTTACCAGAAGGAATTTTTTGCCTTTTATAGATAGGATTTTTTTTTTTTTTTTTTTTTTTTTTGGGTCTTGAAGGCTTTTTTGGGAAGAGACTTAGCTTTGTCATTTTGTTCAGTTTTCTTTTAATCACGTTGGGTTTCTTTATACTTGGAATTTAAATGTAGAGCTTTATACATTTTTTTTTTTTTTTAAAGAAACGATTCTTGATTTTGGGATTATCAATATGCACGTTCTAAATTCAGAATGATTTGAAAACTAGATTTGGATGGTATGGATAGATGATGCTTGGTTTCCAAGCCTTCCCTGGTGGTTTATGACGGTTACTAGCTGATGAATAAAGAGTGTGAAACAGTGGATCCTGGCTAAATAATCTTTCTTAATTTTGACTTGATACTGCTTTTATTTTTTAAAAATCTGCACTCATTTAGGATAACCTGAAGTGAAGTGGTCACTATATAAGATGCACTTTACTTTGTCATAGGAATGAATAATAACATTGAAATTCATACATAGTGAAACTGATATTTGCACATGAGGTACAGGAATATGAGATAGTGAACAACGGTCTCAAAACATTTTGTGGTAGAACCCTCTTCGAAAATGCCAAGTTACATTATACTTCAAGCATATTGAAGATGAGGTCTGAATTCATGTACTTTTTTTTTTAAAGATTTTATTTATTTATTTGACAGACAGAGATCACAAGTAGGCAGAAAGGCAGGCATAGAGAGAGAGGGAGAAGCAGAGCAGAGAGCCTGATGCGGGGCTCGATCCCAGGACCCTGAGATTATGACCTGAGCCCAAGGCAGAGGCTCAACCCACTGAGCCACCCAGGCGCTCCTGAATTCCTGTATTAACTAGCTATGATTTGAGTGCAGAAGAGCCTAGCATTTGAGAGTTCTGGATTCAAATCCTGACCACTACTTCTCACCTGCTCTTTCGATTTGAGGGAGCTGATTGACCTTGTCCAGCTTCAAAAATCATATCTCCCTTTCAGAAGAGGAAACTGAGTATATCACCTGATACGTGTGAGGCTAAAATTAAACAGTGAAATACCACAGAACTGGAAGGTGAGAATGGGGGGGGGGAGTCTTGCTTATCTTGGTATCATCTGTGAAACCTTATATTGTAAGCATTTAATAATACCTTAAAATGAAAATCGCTCAAGCGCCTAACTCCCTTGCACTTTCAGTGCCAACATGCTAATTCATCTCCTATAGTAGATTTTGCAGCAAATACCTCCTTTTGTATTGTCTTCCTTAGATTAATCGTAAAATTTTGCTTACTGCAGCACATTTTGATTGATGGCTGGTGTTCTTTCTAATAATGCCAATAAGCAAATTAGAAACTTTGTGGAGGAGAAGTCATTTAGGGGTAAAATGTTGTCTGAGTGTAGTTGATTTACAGGTAGTAGAAACATGGCTGACTCACTGTTATAGCTAGCCATGATTGCTGTGGGGGGGGCGGTCAAGTCAAAGACCCATTTAGTGGATGGATCATCTGATGTGATGCTGGTGATCATGCCTTTGGTTAAATACAGAACACCACTGTGTTTCTCATTCATTCATTTAGCAAGCTTTTGAGTGCCTACCATATGCTTAGGAGTAAACGCTCAGAGGCCGGTCGGAGGGCTAAGCGGGGACTTACAGAGTAGGCTTTTTACTTTACCCGGTGACCCAACTCCAGCTGGCACTTCTATGCCTGAGAGTGACCTCCTCAGGCCAGGAAACAGTTTCTTTGAACTTGAAGGTTTTGGAGGGAAGACATCCACTTGTATCTGAAAATGGATCTATAAAAAAGACAGTCTTTCTGCAGGGTTTCTTCACATGTCCAGACCCTTAGTACATGGCCCCTCTCAAGGGTTCCAGATGCCAGATTTGCAGCCCCAGATTCTCTCTCGCCATTAAAACTGATTCTCAACCTTGGCTGCATGTTAGAATCTCCAGGAGTTCAAAAACCTGGTTCCATTGCTTCAGATAGACCAATAAACTAAAAATCTTTGGGAAAAGGACTCCGGTATTAGGTTTTTTTTTGGTTGTTGTTTCATCTATTTTGTAGATGATTCCAGTGTGTGACCAAGGTTGAAAAAGCACTTCGATTAATTAGAAGCTGCTAAAATGCAGGTGTGAGGATAGTGCCATAGATAGGAGAAATACACTGTTAATACGGTTATAATTGATTTGATACATTTTATTATAGAATAGCAGTGTGATAAAACTATACAGTGTCCAGCTTGTCTTTCCTTTCTACATTATATTTGTAGCATTTTCTTGATTTATTTATTTATTTATCAAGAGATTTTATTTACTTAGTGCAAGTGTTAGGTGGGGACGGAGGGCAGAGGGAGACGGAGAATCTGGAGCAGAGCCCAACGAGGGGCTTGATTCCACAACCCTGAATTCAGTACCCCAGCCAAAATCAAGAGTTGGATGCTTAACCGATGAATGGATTGAGCCACCCAGGGGTCTTCCTGATTTAATTTTAAATAAATACATGGAACCTCATTAAAATCTAGTGAATATATGTTACTTTTCTTACTTTAACTTTTGACTGAAATAATTTACTTCCATCAGTAGTGAATATTCTCTCATCATGGCCTCTGCAACCTTGTTGGGTAGAAATTACTCTCCTCATTTTAGAAATAAGGGAGATGTGGCTATCATAGAAGGTGAACAGCTTCTTCAAAGTCAGAGAGCTGGTAAACAGCAGAGGCAAGATTAGAACTCCTGTGTGTCTGTCTCCAAAGCTTGTCTTTCTGTCTTAAACTGCTTGCTTGAGCAGCTTTTATGTTTAGCCCACTTGAATCCTGCTCAACGACAATAGAACTGAAGCACATTTCATAAGAGGGCACTATGCATGCGATAGACCCATGGTAAATGTTGAATTAGTAAAAAGCTGAATGCTTAAAATACAGTGGCTTCCCATGGAACAACTTAAAAATAGAACTGTGAGTAAAACAAAATCTCTGATTAGTGTGAGAAAAAAAAATAATGAACCGAATTAGTTTTAGCTCTTCCGTCACCCTCTTTTTTAAAAATAGAAAATAAAATACAATTTGGTAACAGGGTATATGTTAGCAATGATTACTCAAATTCTTTTTTTTCCTTTTAATTGAGGTAAATTAACATATTAGTTTTGGGTGTTTACAACACCCAGATTCTGGTAGTGGTCCCAAAATACAACCACAGCTCGCTTCGGCAGCACATATACCAAAATACAACCACATGTTTTCATGGTTATTTGGTACTATATTTAGTGTTCTGTCTCTCCTCTTTTTTTGTGTAGTTAATAGGAAACCACATTAGGGTAACCAGAGTGGCCATCCTAAATATCTGTATTCATAACCACATGTATCTAAAGTGCCCCAACAAGGGAAAAAAAAACCCCTCAGTTTGCTATGAAATTGATGAAAAGAAATATATTTAATAAAATGTATTTGGACCTTTACTGAGTATCTTCTGGGAAACCCTCAATTAGTTTGGTTTGACTTTCAGTAGACTAAACTGGTCTTATATCGATTTTTGTTAACCTATTTTTCTTAGTGTTTCTTACCTTCTGAAACTGAGCAACTTTCTCTTGGTTGAAAAATTGGCCTTTCGGATTGGCTTTACTTATGTGTGCATTTCATTGATTTCAATCCCTTGAATACCCTCCGTTTTGTTTGAGAGTTGGGACATCATTGATTCAGGGGTTAAACAGCTCAGATGATAGGGAAAAACAACACAATACTCCTTGTTAAGCAACTCTTCAGAAATTGTGTTTTTATTATCTTTGTTTATATTCTTTCTTCCTTCCCTACATGTTCTCATTGGCTTAGATGTTCTCAGTATAAATCTTTGTATTCAGATTTTCCTGTATCCTTATATAGGTCATCAAATCTCTTTTAGAAAATCATACTCCGTTTATTTGAAGAGGGTCTTCTATAAAATAAATGTGCACGTATACATATATGTGCACATGTGAACACAAAATTCTTCACCTTTTAAGTGGAAATAATTGTACTCAGTAAAGGCTGTAAATTTGTCAGAGTACAGTGTACAGAATGCTGGTAGATTCTTGGTTGATGCTTGATGCCTTCCCTTTTTATGGGTAAAGAAAATGAAACTGAAAAAGTCGTGCTCGTGAAGCCCACTCAGCAGCTTGGCGGAGACTTGCACCCACAGTTTCTGAAGCTGAACGTTGCATTTGCTGCTGGGTGCTCTGGCTCAGGCAGGGCATGTTTGATGGAATGCTTTAGAGATGTGTGGGGTTTTTTTGTTGTTGTTGTTTTGTTTTTAAATGCACAGCTTGCTGAGTTCTAACTGATGTTTAAACTTGCAAATGTAGTAGACAGTAGCTGAAAAAAAAAGACCACATGTATATTTCTAGGAGAATTAATATAGACTTCTTTTTACTATTGAGAAGCCGTGCTGGTGTTAATGACAAGACCATATGCCAGAATGAGAGTGGATCTCTGTCATCAGTGGTGTAGAACTAATATATGCCTTTTTCTCCTTACCTTTCATTAGGGCAGAGCTTGGGATATGGCTTTGTGAACTACATTGACCCTAAGGATGCAGAGAAAGCTATCAACACCCTGAATGGATTGAGACTTCAAACCAAAACAATAAAAGTATGTTTAAAAATTTTTTTATATCTACTTGCAGAACAGAGATTAAAAAAGAATTCAAGTCTTCTTGTACTTCTTTTCCTTTGTTTCATGCCCACATAGACACTTCTCGAGGAGGCATAGCAGAATTTTTTGCTTGTTGCGTGATGGGGAAACTATTCACGAGTACTTTATATAATCACTCCTGTATTAACAAGGTGGGGGGCAGCAGCAACTTTTCTTCACTAAGTACTCCGTGAAGCCTGCTGAATTAAATCTCCTTCCTTTGGAGTTATTTACTTTCTGTAAAGCTTGAGGAAACCTTTGACCAGTTCTTTGAGCCCAGGACTTGGCAGACTTGTTCTATAAAGGGCCAGGTAGTAAATACGTTAGGCTTTGTGGGTCGTGCCACCTCTGTCATGACTTCTCAGCTCTGCCCATGTACCTTGAAGCAACTGCAGCCAATAACTGCGTGAATGAAAGGATATGACTATGATCTTAGAAAACCTTATTTATGGAAGCTGAAACTTGAATTTCATGTCTTGTTATGTGTCACAAAACAGTTTTTTTATTTTGTCCCAGTCATTTAAAAATGTAAAAATCATTCTTAGCTCATGGATCATAAAAAACAGCTTGCAGGCTGGATGTGGTCCTTCGGCTCTGTTCTGACTCTGCTCTTTGAGGAGACTGACTGGAACTGCTTATGTGCCACACAGGTTGTTTTTCCTGTTACTTTTTTAAGACAATTGGTCAGTAATCTGTGGATATTTTCTGGCTTTTTTGAATTTTTGAAATGCCAACATAGATTGTATCTGGATAAGAAGTTAATACAATTTGGAGTATAGATATTTTTTCGTTTAGAAAATAAAACGGATGTTGCTTCTGGCAAATGCTTAGTGCACGTGCCATCAATTTTGCCTCTCCTGCCCAGTGCAGACATTGCCAATCAATCATGGCAGTCTGTCTCACTAAGTCTATATGTGGCTCCCAAATATTTTTCAAAATAATGTTCCAGACAACCTCTATCAATTGACTCAAGTTGGAACCTATTTTCCACCCTTGATTTAAGAAGTCAGCTCAGACTATAGCCTGAAGTGGTGAGGGGAAGTTAGTCAAGGCTGACGGTGGCATCCATCTTGCTTAGAGACTTGTCTAGAAGATTTCTGCTCATTTTTTCAGAAATCTGGAAATGCAATGTCATCTTTGTGTTTAAAAGTTGCTTCTCTCAGAATTGTCAGCTAAGGTAATTCATTAGCTCTGGATAGTTTTGACATCTCATTCTTTATATTTGTTGGCCCATAGGAAAAATGCCTCCCAGATCTGTCTCATCTAAAAGGAACTATATTGGGGGGGGGGGGGCTCCCAAATACATTTGGATGTAAGATGTCCAAGAATTGTCGATTAAGAAAATGTCCTCTGAAAATATTCATTTTAGCCAGATAATGAGCTGGTAATTATGCTACCAAAATTTGAGGGGGAAAAAATTAGATTTCTAATATAGTCTACAATCACAAAGACTTGTTTTTTAAAAATCTGGATTGCTTTTTCTAATTTCCATACTTTTCTGCACACTTTTGGGGGGGGTCACAAGGTTAACCTTTTACTAGTACTATTAAGCACTATTACTATTAAATAATAACAAATGCTGTTAAAAAAAAAAGACCTCTAATATCCAGTTACCTTCAGATTGTTTTGTGTGCCCTCTGTCTTCCTGAGGACGTTTGCAGGCCTCCTCATGTTAAATTGATTTCTAGAATTGCTGCTAATTTATCTTAGTGTTGAGATCCTGAGTTGTGGTTAAGAAGAAATTGGAATAGATGGTTGGGATGGCTCATACCAGAACATACCCTTTTCTCCACTCCAGAAATAGCCGCTCTTATTTCATTCTAGTGAGTCAGTTCTTTTGCTGTAAGGTCTTCTGCAGTAATGTCCATAAGAAGGCAGAAATGTGGGGGAAACAGGTCGCCAGAGAATAAATTTCCATGGCCTGCAAGGAAACCATTGATGGCAGCTGCTTCCTTACTGCCCGTTGCCGGGCTTTTTCTTTAGGGCCCAGCTGCTCAGGCAGAATACGTGGAAGAAAGGACAGTAATGCCTTGTGGCTTTTAAACTGTGACATCTGCTACTTCTGATTTTCCGAAATGGGGGTGGGAGTGGTGGGGAAGGCAGCAGGCTACTTCTTTCCCCGCCCCCATTCAGTTCCTGTAAAAATATCAGATAACAGCTGGTATCCTCAATTTGGCCCAGATTTCTCTGAGAGGGAAAGCAGACCATTTTCCAAAACTATAGAGCACCATTTTTGTCTGTTTGTTCTTTGTATTTTTTTTTCCCTCTTATTTTCAGTGAGACATGTTTTGTGTGTTCTTAGGCAACATCTTGAGCCAGTTTTCTCCTCATGTTTGCTGCTTCAAGTACCTTTTGGAAGCTCCACTTAAACCATTCCATTCTCTGGGATACCATTCCATAAATTAGCCCTTTTATCCTTCTTGCGTCCATCCTGGCGGTGACTGTAGGACTAAACTTACATAAATACCAGTCTCCTCATGTTACTTCTCACTCAGACCTCTCTTGTATTTCCCTGCTCTTTCACCGTTATCGTTTGAGTTAACGTTGGAGTTGACCCAGTATTATTACTACTTTCTGGGTAGTCAACCTGGCTCTTCCTTAGTGAGCTGATCTTCTCAGGCTCTGCACATCTGTAGTCTCAACTCCTGGCATACCCTTTCATGCTGCTTTAGTTAAATAGCAATCTCCCCATCTATGGGAGCCCATCTGAAGTACCTTCTTCAGCCACTGCCCCCAATAAAAGAGTTGAGACCTTAGTGCTCAAAGAGCTTGGCTAAGTCCAGGCCATTGAAGACAAAACTCTTACATTTAATGTGGCAAAACTCTTTCCCTTTAGAAAGCTGCAGTAGACTAATTAATACATACATCATATATGAGTATACAAATGTTTGTTTGCTCCTCTAGTTAAATCTTCCAAGCCACCTAGCATTTAGTATGCATTTGGTAGAATTCCTAGTAATTGCAATATTGAAGCAGTGTATCAAGTGCTGTGAAAGGTGGTTTATTTAGCAGTTTCTCCTGGGGCTTCCTAATAGCATTAGCCCAGTAGGGTTTTTTGCAATAGATGGATGGTGTGTTGAATAAATGACAAATATTCAGTATTTCTGCCGTGAGTGAAGCCACGTCCCTCAGGCACTGCGAAATCCTAAAGAAATTATTCCTAAACTTGGTTGCATTAGAATCACCAGGAGAAGTGAATTAGAAATTCATGTTCCTGGGTGCACTACCGAGCTACTGGATCAATGTCCAGAGGTGAGATGCAGAAATCTGCTTTTTTTTTTTTTTTTAAGATTTTATTTATTTATTTGACAGAGAGAGAAATCACAAGTAGGCAGAGAGGCAGGCAGAGAGAGAGGGAGAAGCAGGCTCCCCGCTGAGCAGAGAGCCCGACTCAGGGCTTGATCCCAGGAACCTGAGACCATGACCTGAGCTAAAGGCAGAGGCCTAACCCACTGAGCCACCCAGGCGCCCCTGAGAAATCTGCTTTTTAATAAGCTTTCCAGTTCATGACAGCAGGTCTAAGGCCTAGCATGTAGAAACCACCAAAATGTACCTTTTCTGAATAGGTGGCTTCTCTATCTCTTTGGTATTTTTGCATTCAAAGTTCAGTTTGTTTTCATCTTTTACCTTTATAATCTTCTTGTGGATAATTCTTAGCATACTGAATGATAGATAGTTCAGCATTCAGAGTAAAAAGAAGTTCATACCATCTTCACTTTTTAAAAAATATGGCTTAGATAGAAATTAGAAAAAGTTAATATGTTCACCTTACGTTAGAAAGATATTTATTTATTTATTTTTAAAAAGATTTTATTTATTTATTTGAGAGAGAGAGAGAGAGAGAGAGAGACAGTGAGAGAGAGCATGAGCAAGGATAAGGTCAGAGAGAGAAGCAGACTCCCCGTGGAGCTGGGAGCCCGATGCGGGACTCGATCCCAGGACTCCAGGATCATGACCTGAGCCGAAGGCAGTCGTCCAACCAACTGAGCCACCCAGGTGTCCTAGAAAGATATTTATTATAAATAGCATTCATAGGTTAAAGTTTCAAAGTGGTTATTGTCTTTTCCTAAGGATCACATTTTTTTCCTGATGATGTTTATGTTTTGGCAGCTTACCTTGCTGGTGATGTCACACCATCTCTGAGCTATGTGGGAGGCAGTCATGATAAAGCCTGCCCACATTGTCCCTGACACTGAGATGGTAAATATGGTGTGAAGAATTCAAGATGTTTTTAACTTCTGATATTAGGGAGTGTAGTGAAAAGGTAGTATATTATGTACACAATTCAGGTGTGGGGGGATGGGAATCTTATCATGACAGCGTCAAAAATTGTATACTGGGACAAGGGGGTGGGAATCTCATCAAGACCCCACTGTTCCCCAGGGGAGCCCTTTGTTCTGTGGACTGTTTGGGATCTCAGTGGTTGTGACTGCTGTGTTCAGTCTTCATGTTCTTTGCTTATTTTGTTTTTAGGAGTCTCAGGTACTGATAAAATCTACACTGGTATATGAAACATATATGGCTTCATGCTAATACCATTCACCCACTAAGGGAAAATGTATTTTTTGCCTAGGTTAATGGTACCAGACTTAAATTCATAATTAATAGAGTAAAATATTGAATATTTCCAAAAAGTCTTATATGCTCCCTTCCCCCCCCGCCCCCCCCATCAAGTACTGTGAATAGGTGATGGAAGTCTTTCCTCCCAGCATCACTCCCAACTTCTCCCCCTCCTACTGGGGGTGTAGAAATATTTGTTATTCCCAAAAGTGGGCTTGCTTTATCTTGGATGTAGGAGATATTATCTCAAGGAATAGAAGTTTTTTGTTATTAATGGTAGGTACCCTGAGAAAATCATGGCTTCTCTGCCCCATTGAAGGAAAACAAAACCCCTATTTGGAAATCCTACCAGCATGGAAAAACTGCCTAAATTTGGTTTAGATTAGATAGGTTTTTTT